CCAAGAATGCAAGATCGGTTCAACGGACAAAAATCCATCTATGTAATATATACTATGTTAAAAAAGGAAAAAAATCATGATCATCTCAATTGATACAGGGAACGCATCTGACAAAAATCCAACCACCTTCATGATAAAAAACACTTAACAAACTAGAGACAGAAGGGAACTCCCTCATCCCAATAAAGGGCACTGACGTAGGGCCCACAGGTAGCACCGTATTTAAAGGTGAAGACGTAAAGCTCCCCGTGAAGGTCAGGAGCTAGACAACGGCTGCCCTCCCCACTCCTAGCTGTCTGGGCAGGCGGTTCTGACCAGGGCAAGGAAACAAGGAGAAGAAAGAAAATGCATCCGGTTGCAAAGGAAGACGGGAACACCTCCTATCTGAGCAGGACGTGGTCTCACATGTACAAAACCCTCAGGAATCCACACACACACATTAAAGCTAAGAGACGAGTCGGCAAGTTTGCAAGATATAAGATCATGTCCTGAGAACCGATGGTACCTCGACAGAAATGCACAACAATGAACAACCCAAAAACTGAGTAAAGAAAACAATTCCACTTACAATAGCATCAGAATGAATACACTACTTAGGAATAAAGTTAGCAGAAAAGTTGTATTACGTGTACACTGAAAATTACAAAAACATCACTGAACAAAACTGAAGACCTGAAATAAATGGAAGTTTATTTCATTGTTCGGGGCTGGAAGATGTAATATGAAGGCGGCAAACCCCCAAACGGATTCAACACAACCCCCATCAAAATCCCAGTTGCTTTTGTGCAGAAATTGACAAGCTGACCGTAAATTGAAATGGAAAGACAATGAACCCCAAACAACCAAAACCGTGTCGATAGAGACGAACAAAGTCGGAAGGCTCCACTCCGATTTCAAACTTACTACAAGCTGCAGCGATGGGGGCGGGGGCGGGGGCACAAGGACACCAACAGGCCAATGAGCGGCCCTGAGAGCCCAGAAACAGGCCTGCACAGTGTGGTCAGCGGGCTATGGACACAGATGCCCAGACCTTCAATGGGAGGAAAACAGTCTCTCAACAAATTGACATCAGCACATCCACATGCAAAATGATGGCTCAGCCCTGTCACACCGCACGCAAAAATTAACTCAAAATGGATCAAAGGCTGAAATATAAGAGCCAAAACTATAAACCTCAGAGAGAAACATGGGCGTAAGTGTTCATCACTGTACCGCCTAAAATTGTCTTGTGCACAAAATTTGGGGCAACTCCAGCCACCATGGTGCACCCCACAGTTTAGTCACCTTACAGGGGAAGAGGCCCCATGCAAGGTCCCCAACAGCCCTCTTCAACACCAGGCTGACGGAGGAGACGCCCTGGCATGTGCACTCCGAGACAAGAACGAACGAATAAATGACGAACGAACAGACAAATGAGCTTCTAGAGACCCGCAGCCACAGCCACAGCCCTCCAGACCATCTGGGATGCAGGTCCGGCTTTTGTCATCTGGCCGGTGCTGTTCGGATGACCCTGGCTCCTGGTCCCAGGGGAGGGGACATCTGGGAGTTGGCACTGCCAAGCCATGACAGGGGACAGGATGGAGGGCCCTGGGCCAGCACAAAACGGAGAGTAACTGTGGGGTCAGGTGGAGTTCACGGTGCCTGTGGTGCTAAGCCAGGAGACACCACGTCTTGACAAGGTACAAGAGCGTCAGCGCACAGGTCCTGGCAAGTCTGCAGAGCCTGTTTGTCTCTGGAAAGGCAGCTGCAGGGAGAAGCCTGGGAGTCCAGGGGTCTCGGCCCAGCTGGCGGGAGAGGGCCGTTTGTCCTCCAGGGGACAGCTGCCCCCTCTCCCTGAGGGCCTGCGGAGATGAGCGAGGACTCAGAGGCCAAGGTCCCAGGCCACCCCCAGCCACCCCCAGCAGAGGCCCGCCCTCAAGCACCTACAGAAGGTGCCTGCTGTCCCACAGAGCCGCCCCGAACTGCCACAGCCCAGCCAGGCCCACGCACAGCCCGAGACCAGCAGTGCAGGGGGGCGCACAAAACCAGGAGAGGTATCTGAGCCAGCCCCCCGCCCATGCCCTGTGATGGCCCCCAACACTGCACAGCCAGCCCAGAGCCTGGAAGTGGGGATGAGGGCAGAACTGGGCAGCCTTGTCCCTGACAGGATGACGTGAGGTCTGAGAAGGTGGCCTTAAGGGCTCAGAGGGCCCAGGTGAGGGTGACTGTGGCTCACAGCCCATGCTCCATGGCCGAGGGCTGGGCGTGGATGGGCGTAGCCCCCGTGGGCTCTCCTGTCCGAGCCTGGAGCCTGCCATGTGTCCCCCACCTAGGGCCTGCCTGCCTGCACGCTGACCCGACATGACACAGCTCGGCAGGGCTGGGTGGCAGCGAGCCTGTGGGGCGGGTGGGGGCAAGGGCAGGCCCTAGGCCCTGGAGGACCCGTGTCCGGGGTGGCGGGCCGGTGCACCCCGGGGTGTTGCTCCCCGGGTGGCAGGAGGGGTGGGCGGTGAAACTCCACATTTTCTATACATTTTTGGCGGCTTGAGGGGCTGCCTGTAAAGTCTCCATGTTATTCTCAGAAACGGCACGCTTCACGCCCCGAGGCCCCTCAGAAAGTGGGGCCTCCGTGACAGGCCAGCCCCTGTGAGGCCAGGCAGGGCCCGGGCCCCGACCCAGGGTGGCCCTGGGGACTCATCAGCGCTCTCACAACCTGAGAGCAAGGCCCCGAGCGCCATGAGGACCTGAGACCCCGGGCTCTGAGCTTGCCGCAAGGCCTCCCTTCAGGGGTCCCTGGGGACCCAGGGAGACACTCGGCTGGAGGCGGCGGGCGGGGCCAGGTGGCCCAGACATCCCCGGAGCCCAGCCCTGGCCGCCCCTTCATCTCAGCTCCAGCGTCTTCCAGCCAAGCAGCACGGGGGCGGAGGTCGCTCAGGGTGGGCGGATGGCTGGGTTTGAGGGGGATAGTGCTGGAATCTGGCTTCAGCCCACAGCTCACGCTCCCTTCGTCTAAGGAGCAGCTCCATCCTCATTCCTCTGTGAAGGGGTGGGGTGAGGGGACCCCAAGACCTTCCAGTGGGTCCACTACAGGCTAAGCCCATTCATTACATACACCACAGCGACCAGGGCAGCCACCAAGTGAGTGTTTCCGAGGCGGAGAAGTGGCCCATCTGCCAAGGTCACGTGGTGAGAAACCCAAGGTTACTGCTGGGTGGTCCAGGGCAGGCGAGAGCCAGCAGGGCCACACGCTGTGGCTGCCTGGACACACCTGGCCTCTCTCCCAGCACAGCTTTCTGTGTGTGTCCCCCCCCCCCCCCCCCCCGTCACTGCTCGTCTGCACAGGGTCCCTCCCAGAGGGTTCGGACACAGTATCTGGAATGGGGTCAGGGGACCCAGGGCCAAGCGTGGAGGCCACATTGTGACATGTCCTTGGGTTCACATGCCGCTTTGTGCGCCAGACTGGAAAGCAAACGCTAAGGGGCCTGTCGCCCAGCGGTGGTCTCAGCCTGGCCTGGGCCAGCCAGCTGGAGAATGGGACCAGGGGAACCTGGCTAGCCACGGGGGGACAGATGATCTCCAGCCAGGTCCACCCACTTCACAGACCAGAGCCCAAGGTCTGGACCGAGGGGGCCGCCCCTCGCCACAGCAGTCCCCACCCGCCTGGAACCCAGACCTCACAACTCCTGATGGAACCCCCAATGTGGGGTGAGGACAGCTGTGACCAGGGGACCAGGCTGTGACCAGGGGACCAGGCTGTGACAGCTGCACAGGTGGGGGACCGCCACCCCAGAGCTTGTCCTTCTGCGGTGTTGGACCCAGAACCACACAAACAGGGACATGCCAGCTGGGGCCCCAGGTTCCCATGCCCCTTGTGCCCGAGCAGCAGCCCCACCCTGCACACACCCACTGAGACGGGACAGAGGTCCCTGGCTGGGGCCAGGGCTCGCAGACACGCAAGGGCGGCCCAGGGTGGTGGAGGGGGCGGGGACCAGGAGCACCGCCTGCAGCCCCCACAGGCTGGCGTCCTCACTTGGGGCGGGAGGCCGAGCTGGCACCGTGTGGGCCCAGCTCTGCCCAGCAGCGCGGGCCCTCGCCTGGGACACGTAACTGAATGACGGAGCAAGGTGCCAGCAGGCCTGAGTGCCCCCGCCAGCGCCTGCCTCCTAGGCCCCCACACACGCACACAGGATTCCTGCAGCCTCATGCTAACGGGTACATCCAGACGGTTTTACACAAAAAAGATAAACTGACCAGGATTCTCACCATCTCAGGAACACAAATACATACATCACACATTTATGTGTTGGGCAGAATGGCCCAGACAGCAAAGCCCAAGGCGCCCAGCATGGGTGCACCCCCCCGAACAGGGCACACCACTCCCGGGGGGCAGGCAAGAACCAGGGACACACCACCGGTGCCCCCCTCACGACTCCAAGCCAGCGTGCTGCGAGACAAAAACACCAGGCTGAGGGCGCGGCACTGCAGGCACCCCTGTGAAAGACCCTCCGTGACACGAGCACCAGGCGCCCGCCCGCCGGCGCCCCACGGCAGCAGTCCTCACGGCCACACAGCCTCGCGGCGTCGGATGGGACAGCAGGCCGCGGGTCTCGCAGGCGTACTCATGTTTACTGGCTTATGTGCGGGCACAGTGAGGCCAGAGGCCAGCCCACTCTGGACTGAAATCGTTCGTCCACTTGGCTGCTCAGACAGGTGGTCGGCCTGCACCTCCACGAGGCCACATGCAGCGGCGAGGTCTGGCCCCTGCGGGTCTGAGTCCCGAGGGGAGGCCGTGTCTGCAAGTCCTGGTCGTCGTGGGAGGCCTGGGGACCCCACTGCCCCAGAGACCAGTCATCCCCCAGCTGTCACCAGGGGACCCCAGCTGTGGGCGGTGACCAGCGATGGGACCAACACTCGGTGAGACAACTAGAAAAATGTGACCATCAAATGAGTTTCGTGTGTATGGGTTTTGTTGCTGGGTTCTTTTCCTTTTGGTTAAAAAAAAAACATAGCAGGCTCTCAGGTATATAAAACTGGTAATATTAGATAAAAATACAAACTTCACCTTTACAAAACAAAAACAAAACACACACACATTTCTGTTGAGTACACGTGAAGCATAACACCTTACCAAAAATAAAGAACTTAGGTTCCGTCCAAACCCTGTGGCAGGAACAGCCTCACGGGCCTCGTGGGACGGCAGCCAGAGGGAGCTCTGGGGGCCGGGGACAGGGGTCCGGGGTTGGGGATGGCATCCGATTGATTGGTTCACGCACAGTTCTCTCGAAATGGCTTAAGCTAAAAAGTAAAATGAAACGGGGCAAGGAGAAACATGTAAAGCCAGAAACATTTAGGAAATGATGCATAGGTAGGTATACCATGTTTATTTTAATACATCTCATTTGTTCGCATCCTGCTAGGAGAAATACCGTCCCACTGTCCTGTTACAGCAGCCTGGTGTTATCGGTGTAAATGTCATCCAAGAGATAATTAAAAAAAAAAAAAAAAAAAAGCTAGGCATAGAGTAAAAAGGAAAGCTTAATAATCACTTTATGGTGTAAAAAAAAAACCCACTTAAGGCTCTCAGAAGGTTTCTGTATAGACTTAAACACTACAGCAAGGAGACGTGCTTTCTAAGTCCCGTGGTGGCGTCCGCGGTGCTGGGGCCCTGCGCCCCGCAGAGCCCGCCCACATTGCTCAGGCTTCCAGGAAAAGCAGGCTCCGTGTCCTCGGCAAAAGCACCTGTGACCGCCTGGACAGAGGTCCCGTGCGCTGGCGCGTGGGTCACTGCCCCGTGGGTGCCCCTCCGAAGGTACGTCGTGAGTCAGCGCTGTCGCCGTGGTGCGTGGCCGTTTGCTTGCTCTCTTTTTGACAAGGAAGCTCCGTTTTGTTTCACCGAGTGCTACAATACTTGCTTTGATGTCACATTAAACAAACGTACACTGTCTCTTTGTTCTCCAGGGTGCACGGGGAGACAGTTTTTCACGGAGGAGAACAAAGACCGTACGCGGGTGGTAAGCACCGTACAAGTAGGTTCAGGAATGTCACACGCCATGTACATCCGAGTCCCGGGAAAGGGCCGCTAGCTTAGCCTCACCTCACATCTGCGGGGAGAGGGAGAGAGGCGCTGAGGCCGGGCCGTGGGTACATGTGTGTGGACGGCAGCCAGAGCGGGCCTTCACTGCAACCACGGGCACACACGTGCACACACACTCACGCGCACACACACTCACATGTACACATATGCACGTGCACGCGCACACACATGCACGCACGCGCACTCGCGCACACACACAGGCACACGCACACTCACACGTACACACACACACACATGGACACACGCACACACATTCACACGCGTGCACACACACATGTGCGTGCACACACTTGTATATGCGCACACACATGCGCGCGCACACGTGCATGCACACACACTCACGCACGGACCACAGCAAGTCTTAGGATTTGCCATTTTCATGAAATTTTTCAAACCAAATATGGCTCGTAACCCTTTCTGGAACACCCTGACAGGAACGGGGACGAGGCTCTCAGGACCTCACAGAAGAACACAGCTTGAGAGCAGGTCCCATTGTACAGATTGGGGACACTGAGACCCAGAAAGGACTTGTCTTTCTCCTTGCCTTCCTCTTTCTTCCAGCCTACGGTTTGATGTGATTTCTGGAGCTCTGGCAGCCACCTTGGAGCATGAGGCAACGGTGGCCACCGCCAGCCAGCCAGAAGGGGTCTCTGACCAGGCAGGTCCACACTGAGCTCTGAGCCAAGAGCAGCTCGTCCCATCCTACATGTCACCTGTCCACTGCTCATCCTAACGCTTGTACCACCCACATGCCCAGAGCCTGAATGCCAGCAGGGCCTGGGGGAGCAGGGTTGCCCGCCTCTCACTTTGGGGTCTGTCGTCAGCTGGTCCATGGAGGCCAGAGCCTAGCGGTCTGCAGGCTGGACGCACAGGCCGCACACAGACACCCCGGGCTGTACCCTTGGACTAGCAGAGAACAAGGGCTGCTGCAGGGACCAGGCCACGTGGGCCTTTCCTCCCCAGAGGACTCTCGCAAATGCACCTGACCCACGGGCCCCCAGAGCGCTAACCTGGCAGCTTCCTGCTGTCACACCAGCAGCCGCAGCCCAGGCTCTCAGACACCTATGTCTGAGAATTCCTCTCAGTACTTCGTTTTGGATGCCATGGGCTCCCACGTGCCCAGAGCCAGACAGGCAAACACCAATGATCAGGAAGGCTTGGAACTGCCTCCTCCATGCCGACTGTGCCTGCCCAAATCCCACGTACTGGGGAGCAGCGTGCCTCACTGAAAGGCTCTACTCCCCAGGATCCCTTGCAGCTGAGGGATAGCCAATGAGATCAAGGGCAAAAGTCACCGGGTGGGACTTCTCTAAGTGGTTCTACCCTTCTCCCCACCTTACTCTCTGTAAGCCCGGAGCGTGGATGTGATTTCTGGAGACTTAGCAGCCATTATGGGCCATGAGGCACCTCTGAGGATGGGTGGCACCAGTCCTGGGTGGAAGAGGGTGCCCGGTGATACCTCGAGGCTGCCATATCTGCTCTGGACTCTCTGTCTTTACGTGAGTCGCAAATGTCTACCTTATCTCAGCCCTTGTTTCTGGTATCACCAGCAGCCAAACAGTTTCCAGCGCAGCGGCCAACCGCCCTATGCGTTTATAAAGCATTTCCAGACAGGACCCGCTCGCCTCCAACAACCCTTACCTGCAGTCTCTGTAAGCCTGTTTTTCCGTCTGTCAAGTGGGGTGGGTAACCTGCCCGAGCTGACCCTAGCTAGTAAACATCAGAGCTGCCCCACTGCTGCTCAGGAAACCGCAACCCCTCCACTCACGTGACACCTCTGCCCCCCAGTCAACGAAGACCAAAGCCAGAGCAGGGCTCAGGGCTTCCCATGAGGAGGGCGGGGGGTGGGGGTCGAGGACGGGAGCAGGAGGCCCACAGCCCCGCCAGACCCCAGAAGCTGCAATCAGGCCAATCAGGGGGCATCCTCGGGGTGATTTGTCCTGATCAGCAGTCGCCTCCCACCCGCAGGGCATGGCACAGCCAGCTGACATGACAGCTCCTACCTGGTTGGCTCGTTAGGTGGGTTTTAACCTTTTTCTTTTCCGCTTTTTACCTGACTCCCTACGCCTCCCTGTTAACAGAAGGGCAGGGCCGGTGAGCAGGCCTAAGGAGGGCTGTCAGGTCGAAACTGAAACAATAAACACCTGAGGTGTTTGACTTTCTGAAAAAAAACTCCATTAGCACTGGCACAACACACTTCCTGGTCCCTCGAGCCAGGCCTGACCCAGGCTGTTTCTGGACAAAGTCTGCTGGTGGGGGAAGGCTGGGACCCTCACCAGCAACGTGGTGGCTGGGGTCCAGCACCTGCCTTCCCACCGGGGTGGGGACCCTCCTCAAACACGTCTGTCCTCATTATCGCAAAGAGCCACCGACCAGGGTGGGAGACACACGCACACCCACCCCAGTCCGGCTTGAACCTGTCCTGCCAGAGCTGCACAGCTTGTCCCACCTCCCTACTGGTGCCCGGGCAGCAGAATCGGCCCCCAGCGGTTACCCAGGGCACGCTGGCCAGGGCAGCAGGCAGCCGACTGGCCTCCCTGCAGCCCCGGAACCCACCGCCCGCGAACCCCACCTCCCGGCAGCAGCCCACGGGAGCTGGGCTGATGGTAGCTGCAGACGGCGCTGCCGGGAGCGCCACTCACCCGTCTCCTCCTCCCGGTAGTCAGGATTCAGGCTGGCGGTCGTGCACGTGCACTCCAGGTGCTCCTCCAGCCTCACCTGCACTTCTTTTAACTTTGGCTTCTTCCTGACGTACTCTACCTTGGCCACCTGCCGAGACAACAGGCCCAGCTGTGAGCGCCCAGAGGGCGGGCAGGCGGGCGCGCGCGCCCGGTGAGACAGGGTGCAGCACAGCATTGGTGGTTTGGGCTCATTTTAACTTAAAGTAAATGCGACGTGCGTGCTGGGGTGGGGGAGTCTGCAGGATGCACCTGGAGCTGGGGGCCCTCGGGGAGGGGAGGCATGTGCTCCCGTTTTAGGGACTTCTGGGGCAACAGGAAGTTTTCACATGGCGTTCAGTTATTAAAGGGAAAAAAGCAGTGGCTGAGGCACAGGGCCCTGCTGCCTGTGGCTGGTGGCCAGGTGTCACCCTGCCTCCTGCCTGAGGCCCAAAGAGGAGCCAGCACGGCCCCAGGGCCCACAAGCAGACTGTCCGGGCCCAGATGGGACAGGCTCCAGACCAGAACCCTATGGGAACCAGATCCGGGTCTCCACCCCTCCGGTCCCACAAGGACCCTCCCCTCCCCCAGGCCCGCGGCACCCAACAGCCAACAGCCTGTCCCAGGAAGGCATGAGGCCTTCTCACGGCCCCAGGCCACGGGTCTCTGTGGAAACTTGGAGAAAGCTGGCCTTCTCAGAAACGTCGGCAGAGGCCCCGGGGCCTTCCCAGGAGGGGGCTGGGGCGTCCCAGACGGAGCTGGGGCCCCCCTCAGCCGGAAAGGCCCCAGGCACAGGTGGGGGGAGGGGGCGAGAAGTCTAATCCCCAGGGGCCCCAGGGAACTGGCTGTCTGTGCTGGAAACGCAGCCCCACCCCCCGCACAGGCGCACACACAGGCACACACATGCCCGTCATGGGACCTCAAACACACACACGCACACACCTGGCTCCAGACACTTAATACAGGCAGAGCGAGCGCTGCCGAGGCAGCCATGCCCCCGCCGTCGCTCCCAGTTAGCGGAGGAGGAAAACTCCAGGGAGGCGATCCTCCCTGCCTCCCTGTAGCCCCAGTGGGGTCCCCATTCCCACAGGCCCACAGCCGGTGCTCTGGTCCCCAGCCCCCCACACAGCCTGGCAGGCACTGCATCTGTGCTGACATTGGGGCCGGAGCCCAGCCCTCTTCAGGCATAGCCAGCCCACCCTTCACGGTCCGCCTGGGACACAGGCGGGAAGGGAACACAGCCCACAGGTTGCACCCTGAGCGTGGAACCCGTGGGCCCATCCAGAGCTGGCAGGGGTGGGGGTGGACGAAGGGGACCCAGGCTCAGAGCAGAAGTCCCAGCCCGGGAGTCTGGATAGGGAGGGGCAGGGCGGGGACCCTTCTCCAGGCTCCTCTGCAGAGGCCTGCAGTCCACAAGCCAGAGGACCCAGGCAGTGGGGTCAGCCCTGCAACCTGGCAATGGGGCACCCGCCCCACAGGTAACCTGGCCAAGGCTTGTCCCGACCGGCATGAGTGACCCACAGAGAGGCGTGTGAAGTGCTAGGCAGTGCATGGCCTCAGGTGTGAACGCCAGCAGCCAGGTCCAGGTGTGGGGGCCTGGAAGGGGGTGGCCAGGAACCAGGCCGGTTGGAGGCCAGGCCAGGGAGGTTTCCTAAGTCAAGGTCGGAGAAAAGGAAGCCTCTAGCACGAGCAGCCACAGGACGGCCCACTCCCCAAAGGCCTGGGATGCTGCCGCCCCTCCACCTGCCCCTTCCCCAGGGGCCTGGAGCCAGAGAGGAGTCCATGGACCGTGGGGCAGAGCCTCTGTCTTCCCATCTGCAAAATGGGACCATAGGTCACAGGGTCATGATAAGAAACAAGGTCGTGCGTACAGAAGCACCTGGGAAGTGGCCTGGGCCACTTCCGGAGTGAGTGACCCCTGGTGTTGGCACTTTCACACAGGGCCCCAGCTCCCCCAAATCAGTCCCCAGGCCCCCGAGTCTGGAGAGGCCTGCTGGTCCCAGGGTGGGGCGGGGTCAAGTGAACCCCATGAGGGTACTGGGTGGGCTGGGCCTCAGCAGACCTTCCGAGGGCAGAGGCCCCACCTGCAGCCCTGCCACACTCCTCGATTAGAAGCTCCAGGTCGGCCTGGGCGGCAGCCAGGGTCCCGTGCAGGTGGGACGGGTCTGAGTGCCGTGCACTGTCCACAGCCACCTTCCTACCACCCGGCCTCTGCAGGACACAAGGGAGGCCCGGGGCTCTCGGCCCAGCCCTGCTTGTCAGCAAGCATCTCTCCCAGGTTCCTCTGCGGGCCAAGACCCCCAGACTCCCGGGCAAAGGGGCGCAGGCTGTTCACCCAGGACAGCCCGGCCACCATGGGGAAGGTGGACACTCGAGACACGCCGCCCATCCGGTGCCCTTGGCGAGGCGCGCAGTGCTGGCTGCCTCGGTTTAGGAACCCACTTTCTCCTCAGACGGGCTGTTTTCATCTAAGAAAAACAAACACGTTTTACGACGGCACCTGCTCCCGGGCATGCGAGGACGCGGACGCCCCGCCACTTGTCTGGCCAGGAAGCGGCTGCATTTCCCCCCATGAACATGCTGTGAACATTAAATTCTCAGAAGCGTCCTCCACACCAGCCAGGTCCACAGCATGACACGATGACGTCCCCGGGACCCCCATTCCCACACTGGAGCTAAGCGGGGTCCACATGTGCCTCCCTTCCGGCCCTGTTTGCACCTTGGTGTCTGGGCTGCACCTTACAAACCAGATCCAGCTCCTCGGCAGAGAGGGTGCCTGCCTTAGCCCCACCTGTGCACCGCAGGCCAGGCCATCCACAACCCCCCAGGTCAGGGACGCCAAGCACCCAGGCGACTTCCTGCCGCTCACCAGCATCCCAGGCTGGGCTGCCAGAACCACAAAGCAGGAGGGCTGGGGACAGCCACACCCTGCTGGGGACGCCCCAGGTGCTGGCCTGCCGGTCCAGGGTCAGGCAGAGGATCACCACCAAGATAAACACAGCAGCACTGACAGCCCCTGTGCCAGTCGCTGTGATGCTCACAGCTGCCCTGCGAGGGCACAGTTACGTCGGCTTTACAGGTGAGGAAACTGAGGCAGCAGCAGACAAGCCTCCTTTCGCTGGAGGCCTGGACCTGGGAACAGCAGAAGCCCTGAGCTCGTCCGAGGAACTGTCTCGTCGTGCGTGAGGGCTCAAGCCTGCTGGCACTCCAGGGACAGCATTCCCGTGTCCCTCCCCGGCCCCACATCCACCCGGAACTGAAACTGACCCCCAGAGCCATTCGGACAGACCTCACCTGTTTTAACGGACGGAGTGGGGGAGCCCTTCTCCTCCAACCTCGCCAGAGGCCAATGCAGCCCGGAGATCGAGGAGCTCAGGCTCCAGGGCCTGAAGGCAGACGGGCAGTGCCCCTGGGGCCGTGTCCAGCTCCCCAAGGCCCAGGTGTTGGGCTCCCTCACTGCTAGGCTCTCCCCAGGAAGCCCTGCACAGCAGGCCAGGGGCTCAGAGGCCCTACCCAAGGCATAAGCCCCCAGGCCACCACGTTCTCCCCCAGGCCCATAAATTGGACCCCACACAGCAGCAGCTGGACCCTGCCCCGACATGCCCCTCCCAGCTCAATTCCCAGGGAGCAGAGCCAGTCCCGGGCACTCAGGTGGACACGCACAGCCTGCCTTCCAGAAGTTTGGCCAACAGGGCCACGTCCATCGCTGCAGAGCTGGGTCCTGGCTTCTGGAGACCTGGGGACTGATCAGGTAATTTACTGAAGGACACAGGCTACCCTGAAACAAAACGGGAGCCCACCTGCAACAGGGGAGACGGCTGCTCGGAGCGGCTCGTACACCCTGACCCCTCTGCGGCCCACTGAGCAGCCTTCAGCCAGCACAACTGGACAGTCACCCGCTGGGGCCTCAGGATGACCATGCCCGGCCTGACCGCTATCTCCTCGTATAAGAGGCCTTGGACTGTGAATCAAAAGGCCATAAACCCCGGAAAGCCTGGGAGGTGCCACAGGCCCGCTCCGGGGCTCTGGGGGCCGTGCTGCCTCCACCCCAAATGGAGCGGGAGCGGCCTCCACAATGGGCCTCCTGTTCCCACTGACCTTTTGTCCTCTCTGCCAGAACCCCCGCTGTCTGGGGCCGGATGTTTTCCTGCCAACCCTCTGACGGGTGGGCAGGGAGGAGGAGGAAGGGGCCAGGGTCTGGGCAGGGTGGGGCGCGGGCCAGGAACCAGGCCGCCGAGGCTCCACAAGCATGACTGAACCCTCCCTTCGGGCTGACCGCCACCCCATCTGGGCAGATGGGGGCCAGGGGAGGCCCTGGTCCAGGCGGAGATGCACCCCTCCCGGAGAGGCCAGCCTCAGACACCACCGTGCTGCTAGGACCCCTGGTGGAGCCTCTGGGCCCCACCCACCCACGCAGGTGGGCCAGCGGACAGAGGCAGACACTCCCTGGTCCTTACACCACAGGGAACAACAGCGAGGCTCCCTGGAGGCCAGAGCCCACGGGGCAGAGAGCCCTTCACTGCAGCACCCCTGTACCTCCAAGCCCCCGTCTCAGAAACCCTGGCGCCCATGTGGGTCCATCTCATCTCGAGCACCCCCTGCCTGTGCCCAATAAAAAGACCCCAGGTGCCCGGATTCTTGGGGCTCATAACACCTCCCGACATACCACAAGTGAGGACACTGAGACCCCAAGGGGCAGAGCTGGCCGGAGTCACAGAGTGGAGCCCCAGTGGGCAGGGCCGGTGTGGGGTGCATAGGGCTTGTCCTCGCGCCTCAGTTTCCTCCTTTAACAGAGATGGCAGCGGGGGGCCTGGGGTGCAGAGCTGGCCTCAGGCTGGGCGGCGGCCCTGCTGCTGGAGTCCGGAGGCCTGAGTCAGGGCCCCACCCGGGAGCACCCTGGCGTCCAGGGGAGTGACAGCCGGCACACCACGGGGCAGTGAGCCGTGCAGGGTGCTCACTCAGCACCCAGGACCTACAGTCACCACGTCGAGGCCAAGTCAAGCCCCAGTTATGGGTCTAAAGGGCCTTCTCATGTGACAAGTGGCCAGGCCTGCTACGCGGTCTGTCACTAAGAAGTTTCTCCCCTACACCTCCGGTGGGGACCAGGGACTGGCAGCAGCACAGAGGGGTGTGAAATCATTTCTAGGCAAGAATGAGTTCTAATGCACCCCAGAGCCGACATCCCCACTCAAGGAAAACGGGTCCACTCCGTCCGGGAGGAGCCCTGCTGCCCAGGGTCCACTTCCAGGGTCCTAACCGCCCCCAGAGCCAGTCTCCAGGGGTGGCCCCTCCCGCCTCAGCCTGACGTCAGAGAAGCCAGGAGACACCCTCGAATCACTCTCCAACCCTGTTCTTTTGAAAAGGGCCACACAGAGACCGATGCCCCCGCCCGCCCCGCTCTCTCGGGGGACTCGCAGCCCAGACACCCAGTGGCCGTGTCTTAGGCTCGTTTCGCCGATGGGGCAGGTAAGCCCAGGCCAGCAGGCACAGCCAGCAAGTCTAAAGCCAGACCCCAATTTGGCCGCCCAGAGTGACCTGAAGCAGAATGCCCCCAAGGACTCAGGACAGGAGGATGAGGAACCCCCCTCCAGAGTGTGAGTGTGACCTTCCAGCGTCCCCCAGGGCTGTCCTTGGAGGCCACCGGGGCCAGCCCCGCCTGAGGGAGGGCTGTGGCATACGACCGCTGTGTGCAGGCTCCCAAGTGACCACAGTGGGTGGTGAAGACGGTCAGTCCAAGCCACCAGGTCCTTTCTGAAACAAGGGGAGGAGGCTTGGCCTCGTAGCCCCAGGGCCTCAGCGCCCCAGAAGGACCCTTCCAGGCAAGCACCCCCAGTGCAATGGGAGCGCCCTTCCCGTTTACAGATAAGGCAACATGACCAGGGCCCCACACCAGCAGCCCCTTCTTTGTCTCTCATGTCCTGGGGGCAGAGCAGGCTCTGAGGGGACCCCCGGCCCCGCATGCACCACAGCCCCCACCAACATGCCTGCGAGAACTCTGCAGGGCTCCCAGCGACGTGGCCACAACTGTGGGACCCTTGAGCAAGAAAAGGCAGCTCCAGACCACCATGTCCTAGGTCTGTTTCTTCATAGCCCCTTCCAAATGGTTATTTCCTGGGAGGTTGTGTGTGTGTGGGTGGGGGACAGGGACACCAGACGGCACCCCAGCTCGCCCTGCGCCGGCCCACAGTGCTCGTCCCTGCTCCCCGGGCCTCGGGCTGCCAGGCCTGGGGCTACCGGCCCTCACACGGGCCGCTCGGTCCCTCGGGGGCGGCGCTCACCTTGACACTCCGGTGATGCACGCGGGAGGGCTGGCACTTGACGCTGCTGGTGTTACAGCAGCCCGTGCAGCGCTTGACCTCCACACAGGGAGGCCAGATCAGAAAGTTGGCAGACGTGGGGTCCACCTGGCTCCGAGGTATCTCATAAATGACCGTCCTGGTCTTGCAGACGGCAGGGACAGCTTCCTCTGCAGAGGAAGAGCCGCAGTGAGTTCAGAGGCCACGTGTCCCCGTGGGTACTGTGCCCCCCACCTCCTCTGTACCCTCCCAGGGCTGCAGCAGCTGAGGGGCCACCCAGCTGCTGCCACCTCCAATATGACATGTGTCACACAGCCCCAGGGCCCCCACTCCCCCACAGGGTGCAGCTGAGCTGGGCAGGAGCACAAGGCCTGGTGGGGCGACCCCAGGGGAAGGACACAGCTGGCAAAGGGGACTGAGTGACACTGGGGCCAAGACAGCAGGGAGGCCCGATGTGCCCACGGGGAGTGAGGAACGTGTGGCTGGGGACAGGATGGAAACAGGGGCTGACAGGCGATGGGACTGCTGGAGCCCAGTGTCCCCACCACCAACACTCAGGCAGCTGCTGAGGCTGAGGAGACGGGGAGGGCCAGGGAGCCCCGAGCGCTGGGCGCAGAGACCAGACACAGCCTGACGTGCTGCTGCTGCGTCCCCAGGGCCAGGCCCTGCTCCAGGCAGGAACAAAACCCACACAAGAGCTAGTCACTGCCCCAGGGGCCATCCCGTCAGTCTTGAGGGCAGCTTTGCTGTGGCTGCTGCTGAGATGAAGCAGCCACAGGAGGTCTGGGGGGCAGCAGGTAGCGGACGCGGGACACGGAACACTACATGCCCGGGCTCCGCAGCCCCCGGCCAGGGACCTGCTCAAGGAGGGTCACCCCGAGGCCATCCACCAGCCACGAGGGCCCCTCCGAGAGGGAACTGGCTCTCTTCTGCCCTGTGATCCTCAGCACAGGTTGACCAGCCCAGCCCGGGGCCCTGAACTCCTTACAGACACCAGGCTGTGACTGACAGATGAGAAACGCCCCCAGGACCTGGGTGCATGCACAACGTGCTGCCTCCTCGGCCACGAGGCCCAGCTGGGCATTGTGCGATGGCCGCCTGGCGACATCCAGACATGGGGACTGGCCAACAGGGGTCTCCGCTGCCCAGACACCTATCCAGGGAGCCCAGCCAGCTGGCTGAGGGGCCAAGAAAGGCTCTGGGACCACCCACCGAAGCCACTGCCCCCAGCAACTCTGTGGGGGCCCCCGAACCCTAGAGCTGGAGCTGGAGGGCCCAACAGCCAGCAGCTCACACACCGAGGCTCCCACGAGCGCAGTGGCCAGCTTGGAGCCGGGCCGTGCCTCCTGCGGACAGGAGAACCGCCCAAAATGTAGTTGGAAAACTAAGTGTCCAGGAGGGGTGTCAGCTCTCACTGTCCCCTCCTCCCTGGGCCCCAAGAACAAGCCACCAGACAAGGAAGTCTGGGTGCCAGTGGTCTGGGCAGCCCAGTGGGGAGGGGGCTGCCTCACAGCATACAGCCTGGAGCCCTCCAGGTGGGAGGGGCCTGGGGAACCTGGCCAGGTGAGCTCCTGTCAGAACAGTAAATGTCATCTGGGGAGGGCCCGCCTGCCGTAACTGGGAACGCTTCACCCACCATCGCACTCAGAGGTAGAAACTATAAACCCATCTTCTTGGAGGAAACTGAAGTTTGGATGGGAGTCACCCGCCCAAGGTCACACAGTGAGTGGGCAACAATCGGGGTTCACATGTAGCAGCCTCAATAAGCAGGTGGGACCCCCAGATGGCATGGGGTTGAATGGGCCACACACCCAACTGCGTCCCCAGGGCAAGAAAGAGCAGCAGCTACGACTTCCCCTCAGAACCCCACCCGCTAGCAGACATGGGGGTGCTTTGTAAGAGGGGACAAGAACCAAGCCTCCCCCATACCGGTGCCCAGGTGGGGCCCTAGGAGCCAAGCGCGAGTGGGGTGGGGCAAGGGAAGGGGGTATCTGTGAGCAGCCCGCCAGGCTCATGGCTGCACCCCAGTATGCAGCTCGCAGCCAGGAGCACCCAGCATTCCACATGGCGGGACCGCAAATGAAACAAGGCCTTCTGGGGAGCAGGCCCCAACACGACCGGCACTTAAGGAATTTAGGACGGCCTCCTCTCCAGGGGCTGTCAGCCGGGCCAGGCGGCAGCAGGGGGAGACCCCCTGCAGGAAGGAGGGGCCCCAGCAGGCTGGGCCTCTGCTTTACAGGAGGGAGGCAGGGCTCCCCTCAGCACCCCCAGGCCCCCAATGGCCCTGAGACTCACCGATGCTTCTCTTCCTCCGAATGGGCAGAGGTGGCTTCTGAGGCGTGCGCTTGGTGGCACGGCCGCTGTGGGCTCTCAGGCTGCTTTCCAGAGCATCCTCAGCCCCTACAGAAAGAAGGGACAGTGACCAGCTGGGCCCCAGGGCCTGTCCACAGCACTTCCTGCAGCTCAGCCCACCCTCACTCCTCAAGACGGACGGGGTCCTTTGGGAGCCCCTCCACTCCCACACAGGGAGTGTCCAGGTGTGCAGGGGGAGGGAGACTCCCAGCTGCCAAAACTATCCCACCACCCTCTCCAAAGTGTCGGCAGCCCTCGCCGAAAAGTGGCACCCTCACCACACTGCCAGTGGCCCTGTGGGGAGGGGCCACAGGTGGTCTCCCCTAGATGTGTCTCCCCTGAGACAGCCCAGGTGAGGAAGCTCAAGGCCAGCGCCCACCCCCCCACCCCCCCAGACCTCAGTGGACAGGCCCACTGCTCCCAGCTGGGCACTGCGGACAGCAAGCTGACCTGAAGGACCAACAGAGGCTGAGGCAACTTCCCCAGTGTGTGTGCGCCTCCCCCCACCCCAAGCCCACCCTTAATGGTGCAGCTAGCCCTTGAGGGATCGGAAGGAAGGCCGGACCGGCTGGCTGACAGCCAAACCCCACTTGTTCCCAAAGTCAGCCCACTCTGAGGGTGAGGCCACGAGAAACGCTGGAGCGGAAGCAGAAGTGGCTGCAGGGCCTGGACGAGAGTCCCGGTGGATAACAGTGCAGGCAGCCTGCACAGGACAGTGCCAGCTGCCCGACTACCTGGGAACCATGGCCATGACCGCAGGGACAAGCTGCCAGGAGGGGCTCTCAGCCACAGACCAGCAGGCCCCAGAGCTAAGAGCAGGCTGGACCCTAGTCCCCCAGGTCCTGGGCGGCCCAGGGGAGGCCCAGATCCTGGGAGTAATGGAGAAGGAGTGGGATGGACAAAGTCCTGCCCCTGCCGCTTGACCAAACCCAGCCATGGACACTGCCTGCACCTGGAAGGCGTGGGTCACCGGCCATCTTTGCCCCCAGGTCCCTCTGAGAAGGCCTGTCGCCACTTCTCGCCTCCATCCCTGCCTCCCCAATAGAGGACCAGGGGAAAGGCGCTCTAGCCTGTGTGCGAAGCTGTCGCACTGTCGCACATCGCACATCGGTAGGCTCCCCCCACGCTGGTGGTGACCCTGCCACCAGCCCATCCCGGTGCTGGCCCAGTGAGGTCTCCACAATGGCCCACAGCAGCCCTGGTGGAAGGTGAGGGAACGCAGCCACGCACCACTCTTCGAGAACCCGAGCAGAACCCAACTTTTCACTGAAAATGACTCAATGTTCACGGCCACTATTTATTCTGAGACCCAAAATAAGATCAGAACAGAACTACTCACACAGTAAGAATTTCCCATCAACCAACTGTTACAAGAAGCAATTTTTTCCCCCACAAAAAAGTGATATTTACGAGTCATGTCCTGGTGGTGGCCATCTTGCTACCGGCTTCTAAGAAAATTGAACACTACCGCTGGCGCTCTCCAGCGCCTCACACAGCCACGCACCGCCACCACTCTACACCTGAGGACACCGAGGCCCAAGAGATGGGCCGACAGCAGGGACAAAGGGCCGGCGGGAGCCCCGTCCAGGCCAGGTGGGCCCTCCCGCGACAGGCCTGACAGACAGCACAGGGAACGCCCCAGCTCGTCAACTGGTTTTGAAGACAAGAGATGGAGTGGAAACAGCTGCTCGCCAAACAAGCCCACCCTCTGAGGCCCCCACACGATGGGGGTCGACAAGCGCAGCCTCGGTCGGTCCGGGGGGACGGACGCCTTCTCGTTCATGCTGGCGGAGAAGTGGCCCAGCAGCTACGGCCACGAGGAGGTCCCTGGGACTCACGCGCCAACCGCTCTGAGGACAGTTAATCAGGCGGCTCCCCTCTGGTCTTTGATGCGCAGATGTCTGCCTGACAGCTTGGCTGGAGGACTGCTCCAGCCATGGGTCCTGGTGGGGCGTTAATGGCCCGAGATGGGGTATTTATGTATCGGTTACTCAATGACCCGGGCGTTCGGCCAGGCAGCTCAGAGAACAAAGCTCCCGCTGCCACTCCGCTGAGGGGTTTGTTCTCGTCGGCACTGGACAAACAAGCCCCAAACTCCACGCTACTGGTCATTAAAAGACCACACGCTGGCCTCTCCGCCCAAAAGCAGCAGGTGGAAAGCCATCCAGGGCTTCGCTCCTGACTGGGACCCGCAGGCTCAGGCCCCTCCAGGGCAGGGATCCCGCCCACGTGGCCTCCGGCCACGCCCACCTGGAGCCCACGCGCAGAGTCCCACCTGTGAAATGGGAAAGCAGCCGCCCCTGGGGCGGAGTCAGGACCCCAGTGACATCACAAAGCCCCGCCCACACGAGGAGGAGTCGCTGTTTAAAACGCCTCTTCTCAGCTCCCTTGGGCACTAGCTTCACACTCAGGTCAACCTGGCAGGGACACCCCTCGAGTTACAAAGGGAGATTTTCCAGCTGGGGACCCAGCCCCCTCCTCCCCGTCCCCAGACATACAGGGAGATTTTCCAGCTGGGGACCCAGCCCCCTCCTCCCCGTCCCCAGACATACCTCTGCGAGACCTAGTGTGAAGCCCAAGGCCTGAGGGGGGGGGGGCGGTTCAGTCCTCCACGGCTGCTTACAACCTGCCCCAGCAGCCCAATTTCAACTTTTCACTTCTGGCGGGACAGGAGTTGGGGGGAAGACACCCTCTCACCCCCCATCCCCCCCGACAACTCTAGAAGCAATAGGTGCAACTCTGTGCTCAGGCCAGAGACTGTGGTCTCCTGTGATTCTCAGCTCCACATCTGTGGAACCGGGGCAGGACCAGGATGAAGGAGACCCACTGGCGTTTGTGTCACAAATGGCCACCTAGGGGCAAAGCTAGTGAGCAAGGAATGTCCTTCAGGCCCTCTTTGGTTCTCACCCAAAGTTTCCCAGGCACCAGAACCCGAAAAGCCTGACAGCTTGGTGGAGTGTGTGTGTGTGTGTGGGGGGTCCACACAGGTGAGCCACTCTGCCTACTCCCTGGGGCAGGAGGACTGAGGTCCTTGGGCGTTTTATAAGGGGGGCAATGCGAAACCAGCTGAGAACTGGATGGTGCATCCTGGCTTTTTCGGTTT